AACCAGTGATAGGATGAGAGCAAATAGCCTCAAGTTGCACCATTGAATATTGGATTGGATATTAGGAAAAATCTCTTCACTGAAATAGTGGTCAGGCGCTGGCCCAGGCTGCCCAGGGCAGTGGGGGAGTCCCTATCCCTGGAGGGGTTCAATAAACATGTAGATGTGGCACTTCGGGACATGGTTTAGCAGGCATGGTGGGGTTGGGGTGATGATTGGGCTTGAGGATATTAGAGGTCTTCTCCAACCTTAATGATTCCGTGGCTCTATGGAGAGCTCAGCTTCATAGGACATTAGTAGGCTAAAGGGAAATGGCCTTAAGTTGTGCCGGGGAGGTTTAGATCGGATATTAGGAAAAATTTCTTCACTGAAAGAGTTGTAAGGTATTGGAACAGGCTGCCCAGGGAAATGGTTGAGGCACCATCCCTGGAAATATTTAAAAGACACATAGATGCAGAGCTTACGGGTGTGTTTTAGTAGTGAAATTGATAGTGTTAGGTTAATGGTTGGGCTTGATGATCTTGGCTGTCTTCTCCAACCTGAACAATTCTATTCTTCTATGACTGAGCGGCTCGTTTGAGGTGCTTCAGCAGCTGTCGAGGGCTGGATTTGCTTTGACTGATCCTGTCTCTGGCAGGTCTTTTGCCCATAGCAGGTAGGGTGTGTTCGACCTAGCTAAAGGTGATCTCTTTATCCAGTTGTGATTTAAGAATGTCAGGCTTTGTGTCTGCAAGAAGGTTTTAGCTGTTTAGTTTGTCTCATTTGGCCGAGGCTGGTGAAGCATTTGGGCTGTATTGAGTTTTGAAGGTGCTATTGAAGTAGCACCTTCATTACCTTGTCTGTATTGAGATGCTGCTTTCCAAACACTCGGTTATCTTGGCAGGGTTACCCCTACTTGCTTTGGCGCATTCAAATTATGGGTTGATTTAAATACTGAGTGAAATTAGGTTTTGAGTGCAGGTAAATTGGGCTGATACTCTCTTCGTGGTGGGTAGCTCCCTCATAATTTTTTTCTGTGCTGTTTTCCAGGGACTCGTTTTTACTGACAGCTTTAAAGAATGATTTCTCATCCTGCTGTTGTAGGAAAACTGACTCAGGGTTTCTAAGAGCTTTCACATTTGTTTAAATACGTGTAACTTAAACTCCTGTATAACTAGAATTTATTGGGCTCCTCTGTATTGGTGTGCACTGTGACCTGTCTGATGCAGGGCAGTTGTAGACACTATCCCCGAGTTCCAGAGAAGTGTCAGACATCCACACTCAGCTGCTCTTTCTGTGAGGTTACTGCCCTCCTTTCTCTTGAGCCTGTGGACTGTGTCCTAGTGCTGCCAAAAAATACATCCCGCCATTGTGCTTTGGCGTGTGGTGAGCTGTGTTTTTCCCTTTTTATCTGGAATTGTTCTTATGTCTTGCTGTAATGATGGTGTATGCAGGTTTGTGTGTATCTAGCAGCAGATTTGCTGGAGAGTAGGATTAGGCAGGGGGAGAGAGACACCGAAAGAAATCTAGTCTTTGACTTGAGCCATCCTAAAGCCGAGTTTGAACTTAGATTTGATTTTTATTTGTTAGGAACAGTGGCAAATGATTTCTTTTACTCCACGTTATCAAAAAGCAATCAGTAACAAGGAAGGAGTAGATTTGGCTAAAACACTTTAAGCAAAGTGTCTGGAACTTTAACACAGCGTTGCAGTGGTTCTCTCTGGATGTGTGTGCTTGTTCAGTGGGTTTTTGTAAGCTGGTAGGTGTGCAGACCCAGTTAATGTTATCTCAGTTTGTGGGGACACTTTCCTTGTGGGGTGTCTTTCAGTGATAGAAGTCTGCACTTAAATGTATACGTGACAGATAAAATCTAGAATTTGTTTTATCCTCTTGCCTACCCATTTTGGAGTCTTTTGCCGCACCCTGCTCTATAAACAAAGTCAGTGTTATGAACTTCAGTCATGGTTTTATGAACTTAGTATATCATTTTGCCCTGATACCGACTAGTACAGGGCATAGGTAAGTGAAAGTTTGAATTAACTCGTTGTCAATGTGTGCTGTCTGTCACTTGCAGCTAAAGCAGCAGCTGTGCCCAAGACAAAAGTAGTTCATCCAGCCAAGAAGGCAGAGAGCAGCAGCGAGGACTCCAGTGATGATTCAGACTCGGAGGAAGAGGAGAAGCCAGCAAAGGTGAGCGTTTCTTTCCAGCTGCTTCAATGTGCGTTTAACAGTAATGGGTTATTGCAAATTTGACCAGCAGATTTCTCTCTGACGTTGGGCTCACTTTTCCCTGACTGTGAAGTACCTAGGCTGCTGCAGGTGCAATGTAAGAAGACATTTCCGTAGTGGGCAACTTGCCCTTTGCACTGGTCCTGTGAAAAATTAATTTCATATCCAGTAGTCGCTGTGTTTCATATCCAAGTCTGCTCTTTGCTTTTATCCTAAGACTGCCAGGGCTTATATTTTTTACAGAGAAAGGCTTATTTACAATTAGTGAAGTAAACTTATCTTTTTCTACATTATATGTGTATATGTAAAAAGATAATCTTCACTTTCCTTTTTCTCGCTGCAGTCACGGTCTTGAGAAGTAGAGGGGAGGAAGAGTGATGTCAGTGTACTCTAGAGGAGAGCAACCAGAATTGTCAGGCAGTATTTTCAGTGTTCAAACTAGTGTGATTTGGAGAGGGAAGAGAACAGTGCCAGCCTGAGGGTTGTCCTCTTTTGAAGGGGTAGAAGTGGAGGCTAAAGTGCAAAGGAAGTCTCCCATGGGCTATTGGGAGGTTTTGTGGAGCAAAATTGTTATCCAGGGATTTTCAGGCCCTAACCATTAGGCAGAGTGGCATTTCCAAGTCAAAATGGTAACCTCTGTGAAAGACAGCTGTTTATACTCTCTGTACATGTCCTGCTTATTAGCCTCTTTCTTTTCATAGCTATAAGGGCTAATTATTTTTCCCTTCTGTTGTTTAGAAAGGCGCAAAACCTGTGGTGAAGCCAGCTGGAACTAAAATCCAGCCTCAGAAGAAAGCAGAGACTTCCAGTTCGAGCAGCTCGGATGAAGAAGCACCAAAGAAACAGCCACCAAAACCAGCAACACCTAAATCGGGTACCTCTTATTCTGTATTATGAGTGAAAGTGCAGAACCAAAAAAGTCAGGGGAGGAGCGATGGGGGTTGTACCTACATGTAAAGGCATATGTATTGACATAGCAGTCTGAAAATCTGCTGTCACTGCCATTTGCCCTCCAGTCCAGTCTGCTTCTGATGTGGAAGAGGTGTAGAGCTATTGCAAATAAAACATCTCTTCTCAAGTGCTGCATTGCTTGCATAAGTAGCTGTAATCAGTAACCTTAACTCAGGTTGTGCTTTTGCCAGTGTCTTCCTCTCAAAGAGCAGGGAAGATCTTTGCTTAGCCTTTAGTCGTAGAACTTCTTGATGAGGTGGAATAGACAGTTTTCTGCAAACTTTCTCTAGGCTTGCAGTAGGTAGGATAAAACCGCAGTTTTGCAGCACTGCTTTAATCTACCCAATTTGCTTCCTGTGGTTCTGTCCTCTCTGTGATACTTCAGGCTGAATGGAATTGCCCCTCATGTCCCATAGCGTATTTTCTGATGTCCCTTTTTATTTGTCTCAAAAAGGGGGTAAAGCTGCCCAGGCGGCCACCAAGGTGGTCAATGGAAAAGCAGCAAGCAGTAGTAGCAGCAGCAGCAGTGAAGATTCTGATGAGGAAAAGACAGCACCAAAGAAGGTAAATTAGACCGAAAAACTTCATGAAAAAGAAAAAAGTCTAGTGGGGCTGGGTGTGTCTGTCTTGCAGGGACTCTGAAGTGTGTAGACAAAGGCACAGACCCCACAGATGCTGAGCACAGCATTTGTGGCTCTTATACCTCCTCCTCCTCCTTTATGCAGGGGAATTATGTGTTCCAGCACCTCTCCATGCACTGGCTTTCTTCCCTAATACTTCTGTACTGCTTTCTCTGCTCCTTCCTCTTACAGGAAAATATCTTACTGTGTCGTAACCATATTGTAGTCTCCATTATATGTTCGATTTTGCATGACTCTCTTGTGCTTAGCTATCTGCAACTTTGAGTTTTCCACTAGGGAGTGTTCAAAAATATTTTCTGCAACACAAAAATAACCGTGGTTGTGCTTAATCAAGTAGCAGTTGCTACCAGTTCAGTTGGTTCTGTGCCCCTTAGTCAGAGGAGCTCCTCATTAGGGACTCGTGGCAGAAAACGACAGCAGAGTGGCCAGAATGATCACGATGCTCATGTTTCCTAAAATTTGCATTTGAGGATCTTTGATCTTTCTCCCTTTGTCTTCAAAATTTGCTCTCTTAAGTGAGGCATAGAGTTAAACAAGATCCACATCCAGCTGTCCCCACAAGATTTCTGTAAGTACTTTTATGTGTATTTCTTCCCTTCTTGTGATAAGGCTGTTCCCAAGAAATCACCTCTGCCGAAACCTGCAGCCACTCAAGCACGTCCACAGGCAAACAAACGCGCCAAGGAAAGCTCCAGTAGTGAGGACTCCTCTGACAGCTCGGATGATGAAAAGCCACCTGCAAAACAAAAGCCCAAGTCTGGTAAGTACCAAATACCATTGCTGCTATGTGGGAGGATGCTTTCTGCTAGTGCTGCTGTCCCGGGAGAAGCAGTACAGCAGCTTTTTTCAGGTGTGCTGTTGGGGTTAAGCTTACAGTTCAGCTCCTCCCTCATGAGAGATGGGGAGTGGGAGAGATTATGACAGACTCTGATTAGTTTGCTGCATGTCTTCTATTCGTGTAGCCTATAAGGACACCCTTCTTGCAGGTTTCCTGTGTACCAGGATTTGGGAAGTAATTTGCCAGTGGTCTGGTTATTCTGTAACTGCAGCAACTTAAGCTTTTTTAGTTTTTTGTGAAGCGTTCAGTGTTCAGTTGCAGCCCAGCTGATCGGCAAAATGGGCCTGTGTTCAACCTAGTGTAGTGCTTTCAGGATTCTGGTAGAACCGATCTGAGTGGAGGATCAAACGTTGAAACTCAGTCTGATCCTCTAACCAGAGGAGCTGAGGAGTCAGTAAATGAAAACAATCAACAATTGACATATCTTTTTTTTTTTCCAATAAAGTTTGATGATAACAGAAGAGGAATAAATGGAACCAAATAGCAGAAGTGCCTTATTCAAACTACAACAGACATCTTGCATGCTAGTGGCATTATCATGCAGGCATCTGAATGCTGTGTCTCTCTTTGTAGGTCAGTACAGTGCTGTACCACCTCCTCAAGCTACACAGACAAAGAAGGGTGTTGCCAAGGCTACTGCAAAAAAGGCTGAGAGTAGTGACAAGGCAGAGCAGGTGTCCCCAAAGGGAGGAGCAGGTATGTTGTGAGGAGAGGAGGCTGTGAAGGAGGTACTACATGATGCAGACTGTTCTGGCAAGCTCTTGGTTTTGCCTGAAAAAGCTGTGTGACTTTGGTCTATGCTCCTGTTTGCTGCTCTGGAAGTGTCTGATTAATTTGAAGGCATCCCACACAGAACACCGTACACGACCTCTGGATTTGGGCTGTGTGCAGGTTGGATTACTTTGCATGTGTTGGTTTGAAAAGTCATGAGGATGTAGTTTAGTGGGAGTGAGCCAGGCCCATTACTACAGCTGGCCAGGTCCTTGCTTGGCTGGGCAGGGAGCTCTTTCACATCTGGAAAGGTTTGGATCTTGGGGTAAAGGTTTGATGCATATGTGGCCTGTTAATTTTAGACTTGCTTTTGCAGGCAAAGCAGTGGTAGCTAAAACAATCCCCGGCCCCAAAACCAAAGCTGTGACTGCCAAGAAGGCTGAATCCAGTTCTGACAGTGACTCAGGTAACTCAAGAGAAAAAGTTTTGATTTTTTGTTGATGTTTTTATTGGCCAAGCTGTTATACAGTGATGTATCTACCAAGATCCTTATCCTGTAAGCTCGAAAGCTTCAGTCTCTGTAGCTAGCAAGGTGTGAAATTGAATAATATCAGCCTGCTGTGCAAGTGGAGCCTGAGCATGAGACGTCAGTGAGACCACTGGCAAGTGCAGAAAGGTCTGCATGTTGCTGGGTGGAAAGGGGGAGGCATCGCATGTGTCGGGTTTCTCCGGGAAGGTTGACAATTATGCTTTTTGAGGGTCTGTGTCTTAAGCTTTTAGATGTGTTACCCCCATTGTGGACTTTGGGAGAAGTTTCAGAAATAAAAAAAAAAATCACCATACCAAGTTCAAAATAGACTCAAAAGATGCCTTCTAGTGTGACCCTAGAAATGGGGGCAGTGTGCTTTGTCTTCTGTTCAGGTTGAAGGTTTGCAATGCTGTATTTCCCACGTAGGTTCCCTATGCACTACACTTCCCCTCCAAGTTGAAGGTACTCCTGTTGTATACCTCAGCATCTCTGGTGCCACAGCGGGGACTGCGGGTGACAGCTGCCTGTCTGCCAACAGACAGCTAGCACCAGACTGCAACAAGTGGCAGGAGTTCTGCCTGCTGGGTTTTTTGCCTAGTTTTGCACAAATGGACAAGGTTTTGATTACTGTTACTGAAGTGTTCAGAAATGTTGGAGTAGATCAGGCTTAGTATTCCAGATTGCTGACAGATGATACAAAGGCACATTTGTACACAGTCTCCAGTCCATCCTCAGACTGCTGCTAAACACCTCTGGTACAGGAAATAGAAAGCTAAAATGATATACTGTCCTGTTGCTGCCTCGCTTTCCCTGCTTTATAGATTTTGTTCTGACTTCTTGCCTCTTCTTTGATCTTTACCACATAGCTTCTTTTCTTGATGTTTCTTCTCCCCGAGTTTTGTTCTTGGTTGTACCTGTACTTGCTCCACTCCCTTACTCCATACCACTTCTCCTACATTATTCTCCAAATACCTGCTTGCTTGTGCATGCATTAGTGAAGAACTTAAACTGCTTGTTTCCACTTCCTCCCAACAAAGAAGATGCGTGGAAAGATGAATGCTGTCCCCTGACTGTTCAGGAAGTGGCCATCAGGCGCTGCTTATTGCCAGCTATCTCGTGGCTCAGCCTTGGGCCACAACCTGTTTTGCTTTTCACTTCCCTATGAGTTATATCCATGTTATTATTAAAGTAACTTGCTCCAGCAGCTAATTAAAGAACATCCTGATTTTTTGTTTAGATTCTAGCTCTGAAGATGATAAGAAGGAGGTAGGGAGTAAGCTCCCAGCTAAACAACCTGTGATAAAGAGTGCTTCCAAACCAGCAAAAGTAGCTGTCAAGCCTGGGCAAGGAAAGAAAGACTCCAGTTCCTCCTCGGACAGCTCAGGTACTGGGATAGAAGAAAATGAGAATTTTCACCTGCGCTTCGTGCTTGCCCAGACCTCTACTTCTAGGCAAGGTGTGAGGGTGCAGCTGGGCAGGAGTGCCCATAGCAGTGCTGCTTCAAGCAGCTAATGAAGTGCATTGCGTATCAATGTTTAATCTGCATGTTAGCTTCGTGTTTAAGGAATGGGGCTTATCCTTGATTATCTTTTTCCTTTCCTTTCTAGATTCTGATAGCTCTGACAAGAAGGCCCCTGTGAAGCCTGCTCCTAAAGCAGTGACCCCTGCAACAAAGAAGTCACAAGCTGCCACAAAGAAAGCACAAAGTAGCTCTGATTCAGATAGCAGCTCCAGCAGCTCTGAGGATGAGAAGACGAAGAAGAAAGGCACTCCAGCTAAATTAGCTGGCAAAGTGGGAAAGCCAGTGTCCAAACCTTCTACCCCAGCTCCCAAAGCAAGCACTTCTGACTCTGATAGCTCAAGCAGTGAAGAAGAAAAGAAGCCAGCAGTGAAACCAGCCAGCAAATCTCCAGGGGCAGCAAAAGCAACTGTGGGGAAGAAGGCGGCTGCTTCTAGTAGTAGCAGCTCGTCTGATAGCTCTAGTGAAGAGGAGGAGAAGCCCAAAAAGGCAGGGAAGGGGACACAGAACGGTTCTAAGACCACTGCCTCCACAGAGAAAGAAAAAGCAGCCAAACAAGCAGCCAACAACCTGAAGTCTAAGCCAGCTGGTGGCAGCAGTAGCAGCAGTGAAAGCAGCTCTGAGGAAGAGACTGCAAAAGCCAATGGAGGTATTACCTACAGTCTGGCAAGTGGGTGGTCAGCCAGGCAGTGTTACTGAGCTAAGCATGAGTGGGAGCCTTTCCTAAACGATATTCAGCCTAATCTCTGTGTGGTGTTAGATTATGCCATCTGGTGCAGCACCGAGAGGGAAGGGCTAGTTCTTAATTTGGTGTGATCCTTTTTGTCTGTACTGCATACCTGCTGGCAGTGGAATTTGCGGCAACATGAAGTACGTTTCTGTACAGTTGTTGCCAGCTGCCTTCTGTGCATGCACAAGATTGCTGGTGACAGCAAGGCAGGCTGCTGGAGGACCTCATCTGTGAGTGGGACACCATATATGATGCCCCAGTGCACAACCTTGGTCTGTCCCTCCAGAAGGAAAACAGCTTTGAATGCACTGGTGATGTATGCAAGTGCACACTGTGTGACTCCACGAACTGGCAAATTTTAACCAACTTTCTCAAGTGCACTAAATCAATTATAGAGGTACCCTATTCCACAAAATTACCCATTGGGATAGGATGGCAAAATCCTTGCTGACCCACAGGGACTATTAGTGTGTTATGGCAGCCTGTTTTCTGGGTGAGGCAGTGCAGGGACTGATTCTCACACCTGTGTTGACACTGGGTTTGCATTCCGGAGGAGAGGTACCATTACCTTTCCCAACACTTGCATTTACTCTCTTTGAAATTTTACTGCTGTATGTCTAACAGGCACGATCAGGAAGAAGCAGAAGAGGGAAGATGTTCAGGAGCCAGAGACGCCGCGCAGTAAAAAGGCAAAAATCAAAGCTAAAACACCACACACAGTTCCTAAGGCGAAACAGGTGAGTGAGGGTGGGCTGTGGTGACTGGTGGGAGAGGCGTCTCTGCCTCCGGAACAGGTAGGCTTGTTTGGGATTTCCTGGGGAGGCTGGGCCCACAGGGTTATTCGTGGGTTTGCTCCCTCCTCGAGCACTTGAACCTTGGTTGGAGTACCCTAGGGAGTGCACATCTGTGCATAATGTTATTCTGGCAAAGGTTGGTTGGATGTGCCTGCACAGGGGCATCCCTGTGCTGCCTGATCCGAAGAAGGGAGAGGACTGTGAATCTGAGAAACAGTTAAAAGATGGAGGTGATGTGAACAGGGCTCCATGTTTGCAGGGCAAGGAGGGAAGGAGGTTGTCACTGAGGGAGTATCGCGCATGTGTATGCGCTGACTGTATCTCGTTTTCCTTACCAGCCATCCTCTCCGTTCCGCCGCGTGAGGGAAGAAGAGATTGAGCTGGATGCCCGTCTTGCCGATAACTCGTTTGAAGCGAAGGTAGGGCTAGGTAGTGCCCAGTGGTGACACTTGGCCTCTGCAAATGCGCGTGGGCAGAGCAGCCTTGGTGTGCTTGTGGGCAGTTGTTTTTGCAGGAACGTTTTCCACCAGGAGGTGCTGCTGGGAGGGGTGAGAGCGCTGGCAGGGCGTGCTGGGAGAGTGCTGTCAGCCACACTGCTCACGTACTGGCGTTTGCTGGGCAGGATGAAGGGCAAAGCATTGCCTTTGCTCTCTTGGGTACTGACCTGAGCTTCTTTCTCCTCTCCCCCTTCATCCCTCACAGAAAGGAGCAGCTGGTGACTGGGGTGAGAAGGCTAACAATGTCCTGAAATTCACTAAAGGCAAATCTTTCCGCCATGAGAAGACAAAGAAAAAGCGAGGCAGCTACTGCGGGGGCACGATATCGACCCAAGTCAATTCTGTCAAGTTTGAAAGTGACTGAGAATGCTTCCTTGGGAATTTGTAAACCATCTGCTCACCAGGGTGACTTGGCTGGGCACGTGGATGTTATGGATGCCAAGCCTGCCTGGAGAGCTGCCTCCCCTCGCCCGTTGTGGGGCAGGCAGCTCCAGCATAGGAATGTGGGAGAGTGGTTGGATGTTTCCCCCTCTTATTTCTAATTCTGGTTTAGGTCTCTGATTTTGAACCATCCTTCAGCTGGTGTGAGTGGCACCACTAGGGTGATCTCCCTGACTTCAGTGTTTCACAGTCTGATTTTAAAAAGCTGGCAGTGATTTTTGTTTTTCATTTCAGTTTCATGCCCTTCTAGTAAAAGAAAGAGAAATCATTCTCTTGTAACTTAAGCTTCCACTTCCTTTTCAGCCAGTTTAACTCGGATACCTGTGAAATGGCAAGCATTGTAACTTGCCTTTGGCGAGTCACCATAAGGGCAACAACTGATTTGAACCCTCTGGCTGTAATCCCCACCCCCACCTGACATTTCAAGTTTGCAGCTGCTGCGTGGCAACTCTTCTGTTTCCTTCTTTCACGGTTTCACCTTGCAATAAACTCCTACCTTTCTCCTCCTTCCGCTCCTGTTGAGGTCGCTAAGCAGAGTAGCTAGAGAAGCCGATTCTAAATACGCCTTAGGAGCTGAGTAACTGTGTTGCTTGCAGTTGGAAGTTGGGGGCTGCTGTCAGAAAGACCAGGGTCTGTAGTACTAGGGCGGCAGTCTGGACAATGCTGTTGGGAATGCAGCTGGGGAGTGGAGACATGCAGAGACTGGGCTGTGTGGAGGTGGTGGCGTGTGGCTCGGTGGGAGGGGGTAGGGAGGCAGAGGAGATAAAACCCTCTCTTCTACCCAGCTTTGCTTGTGGCTGTGTTTCTTTTTCAGAGGCTCCGACTGCAGTGTGGCGTTGCTCCTTGTTCTTGCTGAATGCAAAATGTGCCAGTTTATGCGTGCTCCCAGCAATGTGCTGTGCACATGGTTAGGAGTAGAGGTGAATGTATCATTAATGCCTTAAATTTATTTTTGGGGTTGGATGACTTACTCTTTGAGCTTCTTTCCCTCTGAAAAAGTAAAATTCTGTTTTCCCCGTAGCACTAAGGCAAATGAAGCCTGGTGCTGTACAGTTTTGAGTGTTGGCTGCAAGTACACGTTTGGTATGGGGAGCTTCAAACAAGTTCAGTAACTCGCAGCCTAAACTGAGCTTTCGTGAGGAGCTGAGGCTTGCTGCTGCGGAGGGGAGGGCTTGCTTTCCCTCCGGCTGTGTGGCTGCCTCCTTACTGCTCGTGCAGCTTGCATCTGGGAGAAAATGGTTCCCCCAACTAGTTTCCCCCCCCATTTTAGCTTGTGGAGCAGTCTGCTGAGCCCGTTGGCAGTATGCATCGAGCAGCGGTACTGCATGTTTGGGAGAGGGGGTGGGGGCTGTGAGAACTGCCAGCCGCCCAGAGGGGTTGCGCAGGGCCCAATTTCCACGCTTCCATTCCCTCCCTGAAGGGTGACGGTGAGGAGAGCCCTGTTGCTACAGTGAGCCATGCTTGTGTGCGCAGCAGTGGCACCTAATTGAGGGTTGCATGAGACACGATGAGCCACCCCTGTATACATGAGCTGCAGCTTGTTCCAGCGAGCATTTTTCAGACTTCTCTGGCCAGCGCAGCTGCTCTGGTGCCTGGGTTCTGGGCTGCAGCGCGGAGGGGCCCAGCAGACCACGGTTGTAACAAGGAGTTGCAGGTTAGAGGCCAAAGGAAGGTAGGAAGAGAGAGTTTTCTGCCTGGGGCTTTGGATGCCTTGCTTGCCATTTGTCGCTTGCCCTCTTTCTTCTGTTTGTCGGGAGCTTACATTTGGAATTCTTAAAAATTTTAAAACTTTTATGTCTTGGGAGTATTTGAAGTGTAAGAATTCTAACGTGTTGGGAAATAAAGATTGCTGCCTTTGTAACCTGAGTGGGTCTGGTGGTTCAAGGTGTGGGATGAGGGAGGGTGTCGGTGCTGGGGTAATGCAGCGCTGTCTCGCTGCATCTGCCTGCAACTGCTGCTCCTCTCCTTCGGTACGCGCACACGTAACAGGTGCTGGGGCGTGCAGGGTGGCTGCTGCAGCTGGCTGCCAAGTGACTGCGTGAAATCTGGATAAAATTCTAGAATATTTGCAAACTGAGGCGGCTTGAGAGCTAACCAGATACTCTGGTGAGGACTTCTCAAACATTGCTACCCCATCAGCTGTGTGCCAGCTGGCAGTAGAGCCTGAGTAGCACCGGCCTCTGGGAGTAAGAAATGGTGTAAGTGAAAAATTCTGTATATACCTGGTTAAAAGAAGTGATTTGTGTGTCCCTTTGGATCTCTTCCTCCTTTGTGACTATGTGTGGAGGGAAAAGAGACTTGCTGAGAGGCAGGGCATGGTGGAGGTGGTGTGTGCCATAATGCCCGTTCTGACCCCCTGAGCAGCGCCGCTACGCAAAGAGGGGATGGATTGATGGTGCGTGGGGCTGGTGGTGGCTCTGGAGCTGCAGCAGCAGATGCCAAGGATGTCGTGGGTCTTACTAGAGGTCAGCGCAGCGAGCGTGGGGTGGGAGATGCTTCGTGAGACTTGAAGCTGCGTGTGCAGGGGAGAAGCTGCTCCCTTCGCGGGGCCGTGCAGGGGAGAAGCTGCT